TGCCCCACCCTGGATGGGCACAAGAGGCAGGCAGAAGTCTCAGTCTTTCTCACATTCCCAACATACTTGGGTAAATATACAACTGAATGTGGATCTAGAATTGTTTGAATAGGTGCCAACCCTGCACAGGCACCTAGACTCTCACTGGAGGGGTTGCCAGCTGATTTCTGCCTGCCTGCCTGTCTATTTAAATACTTACATGAGTAACCCAGTGCTTGCATGCCTGCTGGCTGAGAGGAGCAAACATTGTACTTCTCCCCAGCAACAATAAGGCCTTCTGTTGAGAATGGTAACTCCATGCCTGCCTAGGAGAGCTGGTCTTGCAGAGGCAGAGTTGTGTAGAAAACTTTGGTTCAGGTGCTCCAGTTCCACACCTTTTTCTAGGCACGTTTCAAGAACAAACTAGCATTGATCGCAAAACTCCTAATATTCCCCATCAAACCCATTGCTAATATTGCCCATGTCTATGCAACAGACTTCTTATCCTCAGCAATGGTATGCTCAAACACTCTTCATTGCTCTGTGCAGGATGCCTTCCAGTCCAGAACCAGAACAGTCACATCTGCACAGTGCCATAGGAGGTCTAATTAGGACCGCTAAGTGGCATTGGCAAGTAGTCCACCTACAACACAGCTGTGGATGCAGCTACACTGCTACTGGTTTAGAAGGCAGGCTTCTTGGAGCAGTACAATGGGCTTGAAATCACTGCCATTGGGGCTGGTAAATTTACTGGGTGGACATGAGGTTTCTTGAGTATACATCTGCTCCACACAGTAACTAAAAATCATGTCACCAGTCGAAGCAACGGTGGAGGTGAGACTAATGTTGACTGACATGTCTTAGCAGATCAATATATAATAACTAAGGGTACTGTCTTCACCTCCTTCAGTTCCACAGCATACTTCTTTTCATTCCCAGTGCACATGCATAATGTGAACCTTGAGATCAACAAGATGAAGATGTTTTATGGACAAATGCCCTTATCCTAATATGGCAATGTGGTATTATTGTTTAAAAATACATGAAACCTGTTTTTCCTACTTTTTACCAGCTCTTCTGCGCAAACATGTGGAGCTCTTTGATTGTGACAGGGGGCTGATGATACAACCAGCCAACTCAAATTAGATTACTTTGTTTCACCCGAGTGCATTCCCTTGCCCATGCTCAGTCCTGATAAGGTCAGCTAGCAGAAATCCTAGCTGGGTGAATATACAGTGGAGCGATTCTCTCTGACAGCCAGCAGCCTGCAGGCTCAATGGTCAAGTAGCCAAAAATTACAAACGCAGCTCTACGCCAAAGGTGGAGAAAATACCTGCAGTCCAAAGAGGCAAGTTTTTTTTGTTAGGAATATTTGACTGACTTCTCTGCCCTCCCCCACTTAATGACTCATATTGCCTGATAGTCTGATAGTGGGAGTTGGGTTTGTTTTTTTTGGTTGGGGGTGGGGGGAGATTCTAGGTAATTTAACTGGCAAAGAGCTTTACCTCTGCTACAAGAATATCTTCTTTGAGAGGAGGAACTTCTATTAGATTTTAGAAGGTTGAGCAAGACAGCAATCCTACTGGTAAAATTTGCAAAATCTTGGTGAGCCAGGTCAATTATAGGAGGGGAAAGACAGGACGAAGGGAAGTTAGTGTGTAAGCTAAGGTTAAGCTATATAGTGTACTCTGCACTAACTCCTTGGCCTTTTACAGACATTACAGCTAGCAGTTCAGGAAGGTTAGAGCTGGTTAAAAATGACCCCTGATCTAAGTTAAGTTGGAGTAGGGGGAGAGGCAGGTGGGATGGGGGGTTAGTGGGGGACTTGGAGGTGGTGGGGGGCTAGCAGGCTCTGCTGGGGGGTGGGGTCTAGGATGGCTTGGTGGGATCAGGGTGGCTAGTGAGGTCCTCCTAGCTTGGGAAAATTGGGGGGTTAGTGCAGTCAATGGGGGTGTTAAGGGGATGGGGGCGATGGCAAGATAAGAGAGGCTCTCCAATGCCACCAAAGCCCCCTGGACCCCCCATCAGCCCTCTTGATGCCACCAAACTGCCCCAATCCCACAAACTGCTCCCAGGGCCAGTTTTACTGGTATTCATGAGTCCCATGAGCCTGACTGACCTAAACTGGGGTGGGACTGGCAGCTTTGCTGGGGGGGATTTAGTAGGATTAGGGGGCCTTTTCCTTCCCTGAGACTGGGGCTAGTTTTAGCCTGCCCTGACCCTCCCCCCCCACCCAGACAAACAACCTCCACTGGTGAACCAACCCTTTCCCAATTCTTACCACCCCTCTCCCCCAATTTACTTCTGTTGGCTCCTGGCACTAAAGACTGCTGGTAAAACTGGCACTGGGAGTGGCTTGTGGGATTGCGGGGGTTGGCAGGCTCAGTGGGGTGGGGCTGGCTGGATCGCGATGGGGTGGTTGTCCATCTAGAAGTGGGGGGATGGATGAGGGGGCTAAAAATAGCCCAGTGCCAGGGGTGAGGTGGGAAAGGCACAGGCCCAGGGCTGGGGCCAGCAGCTGAACTTTTCCAGCCCTGGTGCTGCACTCCGACTGTATACAGAAGTTCAGTTATATCAGTCTATATGCGCCCAATCTAACTTCATGCACCTTTGATGTACAGTTAAATTAGATCGGGTCAGCCATTTTTTTTGACTGATTTAACCTTCCTGGAACTTCTGTACGGTTCACACTTAGATTGACCTAATTAGGGATCTAAGTGTAAGGGCCACATCTGGGGTACTAAATTAGATTAGATGGCCAATTTTAATGTCATCCAACCTCCTCCTAACCTCCCCGAATGTCTGTACAAACCCGTAGTGTAGAAGGGCAGTCTGCCATCAGACTAACTCAGTAGCTACCCACCATTTCTCAGAGACATTCTCAGAAGAGAATGGGAAGTGAGTCTGGGAACCAGTCATAGGCTGTGGAGAAAGACCCCCAATTCCCTGGTCTTACCCTTTGCAGGATCTAGATCTTCTGGGAACAGGGGTTTGAGGAAAAGAGATGGGGAGCCATGGGAGGGCAACTGGGCTAAGGAAGCATCATTGGATAATTGAAGCATGTGTTCAGTTTTCCTGGGATTAATGAAAATACTTATAGTGAGGATGTATTTATCCCTGTCTAATATTTCAAAAGTGACCCATGCCTGAGATGTCATGAGGGCATACATGTGTGTGACGTTCTGTTGTGCTGGCTTCTGAAAATGCCCTGGTTGGTTCTTAAAATGGGCTGATTTGGAATTGCTCTCTTGGGAAAGTTAGTAATTCTTTTATCTAACATACATCACAGAAAATTCATGTGACCTATAAATAGCAACTGTGGTGAATTTGGTGACTAAATTCAATAAGTGTACTGTGAAATGGAGCAATTGTAATCTTGGTTTAAGGGGCCTGATCCAAAACCTGTAGAAGCTAGTGTGGATCTTTCCACTGATTTTATTGTTTTTTGGATTGGGCCCTAGATAAAATGCATCACAGTTTAGTTGCAGAGTCACTACTTCATAATAAACCTATATAATAATTTGCTGAGCCATCATAGGTATTTATGCAAGCACATATATACGCACACAGGCTCATACGCTCATTCAGAAAAGCTATAGAACACCAACCAATCATTGGGTTATGGTTGAATTCACATAACATTTTAGTTTGTAATGACTCTTCAGCTTGGTTTTGAGGTTTTGGTTGTTTCTGACTGACTGTGCTTTCTATTTCCTCCCATATTTATTATTTTTTGAAATTATTTTGTTGTAGAAAGCAAATGCTCTTTGTTCATTTTGAAACCTACATTTTGAAAGTACTTCGTTAAGAATCTGCAGTGATTATCAATATTTAATATTGTTAAACAATATTTTCCAGTTTACCTTTAACAGTCCCTGTAGAGCCATTGCAACATCCATTAATGGAAAAGATCTATTACAGCACTGATGGTAATCTCTAAGAAGAATGACTGTGCATTCATATGAGCATATTTTAAAAAATTAATAACTTAATTATTGCACTTAACTTATTGTTAAATACTGAAAAGACCTACTAATATTCATCTATACCTGGATGATCTGCAAAGGTTCATTTTGAAATATATAATCATTCTCTTTATTCAAATGTCTTCTGAACATGCATTTATTTCACTTTGAATCTGTCAGCATTAATTGACCAATGAAAGAAATGCTATTAGGAACCTAAAACAAAATGTTGGTAGCATAAAAGTATTTGAAGTGGAAAACCAAAGCCAAAAGTTATGTGTGTCATAATGAACAAATACCAGTTAAAATCTTATGTCACAACACAATATCAGAGATTGTTTGCAACATGTATTTTAGAAAGTTTTGATATTATATGAAGCCAGATGGCTTTGCTTCAACTGTACAACTCTCAGGGAGAACAATGTTAGTTACTAACTTCTATTAAAAAAGCAAAACAAAAGCAAATAACTTATTTTTAAAGTGGTCTATAAAAGGGTTTGCTAATTAAGTGCATCGTTAAGATATGATATTGCACAATACAGTAGGATAAATATGTGAGAAGTTGGCAGCTTCTATCATTTTGGAGAAGAGTCTTAGTTCTTCATTTTATAAGGAACCCATTGTCAGCCACAAACTGATTCATCAGACATCTGACTAGACCTCTTATGTATACACCATGATCCAGAGGTTTGATGGTTGCCTGCTATGGATTATCAAACCACTTTAAGCCAGCATTGAACATTATCTCTCTCTTATCTCAAAGCAAAGCAGTCTTAATTTAAGGGGAAGTCTAATTTTGGGGGAAGGAAAGAAGGAATATTTCTGGCAAGTCATAGTTGGAAAAATGGGAATCTGTTTTCAAGCTGCTCAAAAAAATGACATTTTCTTTACCGGTAAGGAAAGATCTAACTGATTCACTAGTAACTGAGTTTTCACTTATGCATGTGAATGCCACAAAGAGCTAAGCTGTCAATATTCCCTTTCAGTGCAATTCCAAAATATAATGATGAAACTAACACATCTATTTCCTAAAACGCTTATTTTCTGTCTCTCCAGGGAAGCAATCAGCCGTGTTTGTGAAGCAGTGCCTGGTGCCAAAGGAGCCTTCAAAAAACGAAAGGTAGTTTTCTTTCCTTCTTGTTAGGCTGGCTGTATTTCCATAGTGCAACCTAGGTGGAACCAGATGCAGGAGAATTTAAACTAGCCCAAGAAACACAGGTCCAGAATAATTCAAAGGCTTATTTGCATTTAGCCACCGTTATGTATCTCTTTCTCTCCTTCTCAGCTGTATTTCTCACAGAAAGTTATTGACTTGAGTTCATTTAAGAAAATGTCATCGTTTGCTGTGTTTGCACCTGCACGGGGAAGGACTGAGTCTCCTTCCTTTCCTACAGAGGTTTTCATGTCATGGGTGGTAGCACAGATAGATGGGAGTGGATGAAGTCTTGCTTTCATCCATATACCACACCTGAGCTAGGACAAAGAGGGAAGTACTCTATACCATGTGTAGAGCTACCCCAGATTTCATCCCACCTGGAGCAAGGAGAGAACTGAGAACCATATGGGTATATCTATGCTGCTGTGACTGCTGCTCATGCAGACTGGCTGACTTGAGTACTTTGTATAATTTAGGTTGGGGTGGTCTAGAGCTCAGCACAGGCTAACCACCTAAGCATTGAACAAGCTCCTTTAGTGGGTTTTACAGTCTGTGATGATGAGCTTCAACAGCACAGCAGCCACATTGTTAGCATTACCCAAATTAGTTTAAAACTAGCCCAGGTATGCATATACGAGCTACAGTCACAAATGGGTGACGTTATGCTCCTTCCATGTCCCTGGGCAGTTATGCATTGCCTCCTGTTCAGAGCATACGGCAAAGCCACAGTTTAGCTCCTAGGAAATTTAGTTTGCAGTGAAATGAGCTTATAGCTGAAATGAAGGAATGTTGTTTCTATTAATGTGAAGAGAATATTAGGAAAGGTTTAGATTAAGAATAACGGCCTGGATACTCGAGAGGCTTACGTCAGTGTACGAAGGTTTTACAGTGGTGTAAAAAAAAAAATGTGGACAGACAGCATAAACCCTTATGCTAGGGTAACTTAATCCAGTCCAATATAAAATTACCCCGATAAAATCAGGTGTAAAACCCCATTGTATAATTTACGCTCGTGATATCATTTACAATCACAAATTTTGAAAAGGGGGGTACAGAGGGTGAGGTGTTTGAGATATAAAACATCATATTTTTCTCCAGTTAAAAAGAAACTAGAACCTTTACTAATATGCTAGGGGCCTAGAGTTGTATTGTCTTAATACTGAAGCAAAAACAAATATAACTTCATTGGAATGAGTTAAGAACAATGTGAAGGGCTGTGAAATAGAATTTCATTACCAGGAGCAGCTAACAGACAGCAGAATTGCAAAACAAAGGGTAGCATGACTGGTGGAACAGTAAGACCATTAAAAAGAAGAGAGGGTCATTAACACCTGGGGAATAAAATGAATCAAAGGGAGGTGCAAGTGCACCAGTGCACCCCCTGATTCATCTCTGCTATTGTCTGTCTGCTTTCATCCCACAAGGGCTGTTAAATCAAGGCAAGAAATTACCTGCCACCTAGTGATGACATGCTGTAGTAGCCACTTAACTTGTGTGCAGCCACTCTGGGATAGATGTAGGTCTGTCTAGTCCATATTGGACAGATCTACATGAGATGTTTACTGTGGAGTTTCCTATTTAGGTATGCAGTAAAGTCTCAGCGTCTACATGGGTGGCCCTACTAGGACACAGTAAACTAATAAACACTGCCGTAGCATAGTACTTGTAAACACAAGTCCTATTCTATGGCGGCATTATTTAGTGCGCTGCAGCATATATTCAGATGCTGATGGGGCTGGCTGGGGCAGAAGGGTGCTTTAGTGCAGGGACTGCCTGCCTGCTAGCCCTACACTGGAGCACTCTTGTGTCTCAGCGAGCCCCTCCACAACACACTAAGCTGCGTCAGAGCAGCCTTGGGCTGGCAGGCTCACCCTCCATGCCCCTGCCAGTCAGGGCTCCTCTGACCTGGCTCAACGTGCTGTGGTCACAGGTGCATGTGTAAACGTGGTACCCAGGAACAATAAACTCAGGCGTGAACTGCACCAGAGTTTATTGCTTTGCCTTAAATCATGTGTTGACGTGCCCAGAGTGGTGTAATTAACACTAGTAGCATAACTAGTAGTGGGCAAGGTGGGTACCAACTGTGGGCACTGATTTTTAAAGGGGCATGAAAAACTCTTGGGTAACCTGCAGTGCATGAGTAGCAGCCCATGCGAAAGCAGCAGCAATGCCAGTCTGGGGGAGGTAAGACTCTCCAGCACCCAGCATCCCTTCTCCTCTGCTCTGCAGTGCTCAGTGCCGTCCCCTTCCCCATGCCCTCACATTGTGGTATCTCTGCCCAGGCCACCAAATTTCCTATGTACTATGCTTCTTAGGGACACAAGCAATTTAACTTACTCTGCATAATCGTGTAGTCTGTCCAGGTCCTAAATGAATGAAGGAAAGATGCAATTATTCTTTCTATCTACCTACCTATCTACTTAGGCAAAGTCCTGACAGAAGGCAGAGGAAGAAATACCACTTATCTTCTGCAGTGATTAATCCCCCATTGGATACAATGGGCTTAGTTGACACAAGATGTATCCGCACAAGCGTGCTTCCATGTAATATATATTTTGTTGTCATGGCCACAATAGGGTACTGTAATTAATTCTCACTCAGCTGTATGCAAACACCAAAGCAAAATAACAAATATTATAATATATCAATGGAAATGGCCTCAGAAAATAAATGTTTTGGTAAAGGCTTTCTTCTGTGTTCAATCATTTTTGGTTTGGATTGTTTTTATATCATTAAGTCAAATAAAGGAGAGAACGTATAGAAAAGAAATACTGCTTTTAAAATAAGCCAGTCATTTGACAAGGGGATAGCATCCAACAGCAGCAGCACTTCAACTAAATCTTAATAACACTCTCAAAACTTTTGCCAGTCTGTACTTCATCCTGTCTTCATGGCGAGTCTCATGTTTTTCCCAGTTTCAGCTCATGCATCTTATTTTCTGCAGTCAGGGAAAAATCCTCTTCCCCATTCTGAAATTTATGTAATCTCACTTATTATCTGCACTATATCCCCAACATGTCTGCACACATTCCTATGGTATTGCTGGAGGCCCTGCTCCACATGCAGAAAGGCGCAGGAATGATCAGTAGAAATTTTTAGTGCAAACCAGAAAGGAGCCATGGGGGCCCTACTGAAGTTGTTTACATAGAAAAAAATCACGTTCATGTAGTAAACAGGAGCAATGCAATGCCTCCATCTCTTTCTAATGCCTGGTTCCAATAGAAATAGGGCTTTCCTACTTACCAGCAGTCAGCAAAGTTATTATATTAGACTAAAGGTTAGAAGCTTGTACTTTTTGTTGATTACATCCTAGGTTTGATCAGATGTTTCTGCCTTGGGTGGCAGTGGCACATGAGGCAGTAACTGTAGCTGGGCTACCAGCTCAGCAGTAAAGCAGTCACTGTTTTTGTGCCCCTATCACCCTCTAGTTGGGGCGTGGGACCGGTTCCCTAGTTGTGCCCGCACCTTCATGACACAATTGGGTTCAATCTTCACTGTTTTAATTGTGCTTTACATGGCGGAGAGGTGTATTATGAGGAATGATCTCTGGAGAAAAGAAAATGCCCAAATATCATGATCATTAAAGTATATTCATTCTTAAAAGCAGACCTTAATATTTCAGTTGATCCTGCATTAAATGAGTTGCCATTATGAATCAGTAGAGTACTAAACATCATGTCCTTATTTCACAGCCACCAAGCAAAGCTCTCTCTAGCATCTTGGGCAAGAGCAACCTTCAGTTTGCAGGGATGAGCATCACTCTGAATATCTCTACCACCAGCTTAAATCTGATGACACCTGATTCAAAACAGGTTTGTGAAGAATAATCCCAACTAAGGGTTTGATGAATTGTGTACCACACAGGGTGTTCTATGTACTCAAATATTTGTGTGCTCAAAACATAAAGAATAAAATGAGAAAAGAGTATGAAAATATAAGACACAGTAGATTAAATACTTTGTTTTCACAGATCTGCAGTGAAAATAACTGCTTCACTTGCATAGAGTAATTCTGCTGCTTTCGCTAATCAAATTTACTTCACAGGGGCTCGTCTACACAAGCATTTGATGTGGCACCAGTTTACTCGCAAATAACTCATGAGTAAATGGTGCTCGGTATGCATCTACACATGCAGAGAAACGGGAGCAGATATGCTGCCAATCTGCTCCCACTTGCCAGGGCTCTGCAATGGGCCCCTGCCACTACTGGGGGCAGCTCCAGGCTCTGGCTGCAACCCCCTGGTGGTGGTGACAGGGTTCCGTGCCCTGGGCATCCCCCCAGTGCATCGGGGCCCTGGATGGGACCCACATCCCCATCACTTGCCCATCCCTTCTGGACCACCCCTGCTACAGCCACAGGGGCTTTCATTCTGGGCGCGCTAGGCCATTGTGGACTACCGGGGCGCCTTCAAGCACATGAGTGCTAGCTGGGTGGGCAGCCTCCATGACATCTGCATCTTCAGAAATCTGACCTGCTGGGCCTGGTGGATGTCACAACCCAGTGATTTTGGTGCCTCGGCACTATGGAATTTCCTGGCCACATGAGAGCTCCTTTGCATGGCAGAGTGTTCTGCTGCAATTGAGAACCCGCGTGTAGGAGAGAGTTCCCGCCAATTTGCAGTTTCCTTTGCAGGATGCATTTCTTCTTTGCAGCACAGAAATGCACGGTGCAAAGAGTTCCCGCTATTCGAATGTAAATTTGTACCCCGCTATTGGCCAGTGCTAAATTATTCACATGTGGCGGCTAGTAATTGGCTCGCTGGCC